ATATATTTATATATATGTATGTATACGTACATATAAAAGATGTTACTCGCACATGCAAATATATTGTAGTTGAAGAGTTTTCATTTACTGTTCTCAATTAAAAAATGTATTTATAGTCTGCTTTCTTTTGTTTTTGTTTTTTAAATATCTGTATTCGTTTGCTGGCCTTTCTAGTTAGTATCATTTTGGTTTGGTTTGCTTTTTACACGTTTGCTTTGCAAAAAATATAGAATGTATATAATTTTTGTTTACTCTTTTCATTTTAGCTTCTGTTCACTTTGTTTTGTTTCCTCTGTGTAGGTACTCGATTCTCACGTAAAATGTTTATTCTTTATTTTATTTTATAGATCCTTTAAACATCCTTACAATACTTTAATTTACGTTGACTCGTTTTTTGTCTGTTTTAAAATTTGCTGTAGTTTTGAGCTCTGCTTGTTCCACTTGTCATGTAAATACTATGTAGGTGTGTCTGTGTATGTGTGGGTGTATACATATATATCTGCAGCTATCGGTTTATATGTATATATATATATAGATATAGAAATATGTTAATGCATGTCACATTCAATCACTAGTACATCGAGTTAATATTTAGATTCCATATTATTTAGATTGCTGTAATTCGGTCAGAAACTGTATTCAAGCTTTACTCTATTCCAAAAATGCGTTTGCTTGCATTTCGATAAGTATGTATTTATGTCGTATATATCGTATATATGTATATGTAATTATTAACTGCATATTTCATTTTAGCTATATGTTTATGTTATCATATATGTGAGTATTCAACTATTAAAACATGAATTTTACACGACATTTAAGTTGAGGTTTTTGTTTTTTTGTTTTTTGTTTTTGGTTAATCTGTTTCTGAAAACTTATTTATGCTAAATTCAACTTTATAAGTATGCGTGTGTGTATTAGTTACGTGATTGTATGTGTGTGTGTGTGTTGGTTGTAACCGTTTTCCGAATTGTTTTTCACCTGTTCCTAGTGAACACCGGGTCGAGGCATTCCATCTATTATTTTGTACCTTGTTATATGGTATTCATATTTATATTTGCAATAAACTTTCAATCTTACAATTAGCATTAGCATTAACTGATGCATGATGATGCACGATGAATATGACAACCAGTTCAACTAGCTTGTTGTTTACCAAATTAGAGTAGAGTATCATTAACATAATGCATAGTATATAGTTAGAGTAAACTCTTCTTCGTCTTCTTCTTATAGTTCAAAGACATAGAACCTAAACAACATGTGGTATGAGCCATAAAAAACGTAACAAAACATGTTCTCTTTGTGTGTTTGAATGAGAGTTGCTTAAACTTATTATATTTTATGATAATCCTTCAGGACTTCGAATGAAGACACAACAACAATAATGCATATAGAACATATGTGAACTACTTTCGAGATATATGTATGCATGTATATATATATTCATAAAGCATACTACAAATGAATATCTTATTTGTATGCTGCTTATGGCAAATGAGTGGTGGATGTGCATTCGAATCGGGTAGACAGATTTTGGATATACATATATACGAGATGTATATATACATATGAATGTATGKGTATGTGGCGAAAGTTGTCGAGCATGTGATTGTAGTAAAGCTCTTAACTGTTGCTTAAAGGTCTTATAGCTCTTAAGTGGCTTCAGTGATAACAAGGTGTTAAGATAGTTCAATCGATTTTTACGTACGTCTAAATCTTAAAAAACGTTTTCTTCTTCTTGTTTCACATCCTAAACTTAGTTAAATGATCATTGTAAATATTATTTAATAATAATATATATACGATTTTTTGACGCACGCTCAGTACAATGTTTTTATTTTTATTTTTTTCAGTTTTTTTCTTCTCTTTTTTTGTTTGTTTGTTTGTTTACCAATATGCAAATTATATCATATAAGAATTAAAAAAATTTTGTTTTTGTTTCTTGTTTTTTTTTTGTTTTGCTGGGCGTTTCTCAGATCAAATTTACGACCCTAGCGAAAAGTCTTTTAAAAGTAATATTTTTGGTTTTCTTTTTTTTTATAGCCAATTTTTTGAAGACATCTTGTGGTTTTTCTCATGCAACTTAGACTTTAGTGCAATACATATATATATGTATATATGCCAAAGCGTTCTATATGCTTATATAGATCGATCGCTCACATAAGTAAATAAAAATGCGTTTTGCCAATTATCGTAAAAATTTAAATCGTAAAAAAGTTACAACAACTTTTTGGAGTAGAAAAACTTATTTAAAACTATTATTGAAATCATTATTAATTATTTAGCTTTTATTTTTAATGTCACTTAATCTTAAGCCATTTGTAAAATGATGTAGCTTATATTCATTATTTTAAAATTTCATGTTTTTGTTTTTGAAGTTTCAGTCAGTTTATATAAGAGTGTGTGTGTGCGATGGTGTGCGTATATATGTGTGTACTGCCATCATCTTCCTTTCCTGCTTGCCGCACACACAACATACGTGTGATTGTATAAATAGCTTATTGCTTCTTCAATATAAGTACGAGTCAAATATGAACTTGAAGAGTTTTCAGAGTCTAGGAATGAGCCTAATGACTGATGACCTATGACTAATGGCTAATGACTAATGACTGATGACTGGTGTCTAATGTCTGTGTTGGGCATGAGGAAATGTAGTTTGTGCTGTTTTTTTTTTTTTTTTTTTTGTTGTCGCTGTTGGCAGTGTTGAGCAGTTGTCTAGCGCATAGACATCTCATTCCCCCTTCCTTTTTCCTAATGGGGTTGACTCATCTGCCCTGCATATCACACTTCTAATGCCCTTATATAGTATGTATGTGATCTGATGAATGCGCAAGTCTTTTCGCTTGATACACTTAACTAATTCAAATGGGCGAGCATTTCGTTTTATTTTTTGTAAAAATTGTACTTAATTTTAAATGGAATTTCTAAATCTTTAAGGTTCTCTGGGTTTGGCTCAGCATTTGTTGATATGACACACTTTTGTTACATATACATATATGTGTGTGTGTGTGCTGGTGGCGTGTGTGTGCGTGTGTCACTATAATAATTTTATATACGAGTAAAAAAACGAACAAGTCAAATAAATCAGCCTTATTTTGAATGCAATTTTTTGTTGTTTGTTTTGTTTTCTTTTAAAACTAAGTTTGTTCTCCAATTAGAAAAGTTCACACACACATACACACACAGGCAGACCCATGTGAGCGCACGCCAGAGAATTATTAAAGATATATATAATGTATATATCATCTCATCATAATTATCATCATCATCATCAATATGCCGTAATTACTTATATAGAACAACACCAATTATTTTGAATTCAAGTCGCAAAAACAGATCGCTCTTAGGGCCCGATCGATATATACTATATATGTATAATATATAATAATAATGCTGGCTATATGCTATGTTATAT